TCTTGTTTCCCTAATACCCAGCACCCCACACACTGTGTGTATGTGCTCTGGTCCGGATGGCTAGTCCTGGGCTCCCTCTCCCTCCCTGCTCCGACTCCTCTCCTCCTGCCAGGAGCTGGGGTGAGGGGCGCTTGGGTCCCACCAGGTCGCAGCTTGTGTCTTAACCCCTTCATGAGGCGCTGGGTTCTCGCAGGCATAGATGTAGTCTGGCTGTTGTCCTGTGTCTCTGGTCTCTCTTTTAGGAATAGTTGTATTTGTTCTATTTTCAAAAATATATATGGTTTTGGGAGAAGATTTCTGCTGCTCTACTCACTCTGCCATCTTGGCTCCCCCAAATATGTATTTCTTAAGACTCATTACATCCCAGGGACTGTGTCTGCTCACTGTGCATCCCCACTGCCTGGCATAACCTGAGCACCCAGAAACTGAAAGAAGAAATGAATGAGGGGTTTGAAGCCACAAGGTGCAGGGGTGGATTCAACTTTTTCAGGAAAGCGGACACAGAACAAATTCAGGATCATCTTGAAAAGTTAAGTTGTTGACTTTACCAAGGCATTTGATAACATCAGTGAGCTCAGGCTTCAGCTCCACCTGCTGTTCTACAGGTCTGGCTGCCCCAGGAAGCTCTCCAACAGTCTAAGGTTATTCTGTAATAGAAGGCTAGTTTGTTTGATCATGTCAGGACTGCAGGCAATATATCAGCAGAGTGAATGGGGTAGAGTAAATGCCTCCTTTTGCTCAGCCTGTTTATGTAGCATGTTTGAGAATGTAACTGAGATCCAAAAAGCCAGCATTTTGAGACTCTGGCTTCTAATCCTATGGGATACTTTTCCAGCTCATTAGACTGCAGGCATCTGCAATATTCCTCCAGGAAACCTTCTAAAGCCACAAAAGAATAGTAATGGCTAATTTAGATAAGGACTTACTAAGTGCTAGACCCCATTCTTAAGTTTTACAACTCTTAGTTCATTTTGTCCTCATAGCAGCTCTGTGAGGTGGAAGAGTTTTTTCCGATTAATTACTATTTAAAAACTTTTTATTTTACCAAGAAAGAAACTAAGGTACAGAAAGGTTGAATAACTTTCCCAATGTTATATAGATATTCAGGGGCAGAACCAGGATTTGGGCCTGTGTAGAACTCATGTGTTTAACCATTATGCTTCCTGCCTCAGACATGCTTTTCTGAGCCCTAATATTGCAAAAAATATTCGGTGACTCTATTTCTGAAATAATCTTTACTAGAAATCTTATATATGTAATTTTCTACCTTGCTATCATAAATCAATCCATAACTGTGTGCACGGAGGGCATGGAATGTTTAAAGCCAGGTTCTTATCTTCAGAAAGTTTACCACCTAACTGGAGATACATAAAATATCATTAAAAAACATCAAAGGGGAAAGAACAGGGTTGGGGATGAATCATATAAGCTGTTGGACTCAGCAACCCAAGGCTCTATTTTTTCATCTGCAAAATGAGAATGATAGTCCTTACCTAATTCACAAATTTTTACTAAAGACCAAATGAGGGAGGATATTTTGGAAGTATATTACAAACTGAATAAATAAGTAATTTTGTGATAGTTGGTGCCAAATGAGTATACAAAAATGTGTTAGAGAAGTTCAGAAGTGGGAAATAGTATTATGGGAAAAATAGTCCTGGAATTCAATTCAACAAATATTAGTCTGTCTCTTATATGCTGATGCTGTATTAGGTGCTCAGAATACAACAGAGGATACTATGCTTTATTAGTTATTTTGGAGATTAGTCCACTTCCAGGGTCATGATTCATTTGTCTTCAAATCCCTGGTGGTATCCTAGGTCAGAGTGGGGACTGACATGTGTGGGAGGGGAGAAGTCTAGTGGTATAGTAAAAGTGGAAAGAATGTAAACAACATTCTTTTGCTGCACAGGGTCCTCCATGCCAGGAATGAAAAAGAGGCTTCATCTTCTATGGCAACTTCATTATTTTGGGGGGGATTCTGAGTCCAAGATTCAGCCCTGACTGAGGATCCAGAGGGCTCTGGGCCCAGAGGGATTTACCTCTAGTGTAGGTAACAGAAAAGTTCAGATGCTTCCCAGCATCTCTATGACCTGTGCTTGGCCTCAGGATATCCCTATAGCTAGGATATAGTACACTAATAAACTAATTTTAAAAAGTAGAGAGAGGCAATTCAGCCTGGGCTCTGGAACCCAACAGACTGGGAATGAATCCTTTCCACCACCAGTGTGACCTGAAGCAAATGACCTGACCTCTTGAAACCTCATTTGTCTCAAGTGCAGTTTCCTTAAAGTGGGAATAATAATAGTACCAACCTCATAGTATTGTTAAAATAAAGAAATTAAGTAACCCATATAAAGCTCTGACCACATTGCCTAGAATAATCAATGTGTAGTTGCTATGTCTGCTAATAACAGTGATAACAATAATAATATCATCTCCCTTATAGTTTAAATAAAAGGGTCTGTAGAGCAGTGTTAGTGTTCAGTTTTCTCTGTGTCTGATACCAGTCATTGCCTAGCAAATTACTCTTTTTTTTTTTTTTGAGAGGGCATCTCTCATATTTATTGATCAAATGGTTGTTAACAACAATAAAATTCTGTATAGGGGACTCAATGCACAATCATTAATCAACCCCAAGCCTAACTCTCAACAGTCTCCAATCTTCTGAAGCATAACGAACAAGTTCTTACATGGTGAACAAGTTCTCACATAGTGAACAAGTTCTTACATGGTGAACAGTGCAAGAGCAGTCATATCACAGAAACTTTCAGTTTTGATCACGCATCATGAACTATAAACAATCAAGTCAGATATGATTATTCATTTGATTTTTATACTTGATTTATAATCGAGAAATTGGGAATCAACAGAGGTGAGGCTTAGAACCTCACCCCCCCTGTTTTGAGAGAAATCTTCTGCATCCATGGATGTTTTGTTGCCCTTGTCTAGCTTGGATTAATAGTCTAGTTTAGTCTATAGGCACAGACCTGATCATCTACACTTGCCTTCTTACAGCACTAAATTATGCTTTCTATCTTTATCTTGCATCTACCTACCACTTCAGCATTAAAAAAAAAATAAGCAAGTTACTTTTGTTATAGTTTTAGCACTGGAAAAAAATCTTTGCAGAGCTAAAGTTGAGTATAAACAAACTCTCCATATTTTACCTTAGTCATATAATTTACATCTCTGTGTGTTGGAAGTATCCTTAATATGTTGGATGTGTAGGGTTGGTCTTAAAGCAGAAGACCTAGGCAGACATACAACCAAAGGAGGTTATCTTCAGGGTCTTTAGTTGGTAGTAATCCTTGCCGGCTTAGAGAGGTTCATCTCTTCACTTGAGTCCCCAGTTCATGTTTTTTTCATTTCAGTATAAATTTTTATTATAAAGGGCTGTGATTCAGAATGCCAAAAAGAATTCAGTCTGATCCACATAGAGGAAAGTTGAAGTTTTATCTGAATGTTAAAATGTTTGAGAGACAATGATGCTTGTTTAATCAGATATATCTAATCTGTACCATCTATCAAAATTGCAGGTTTGGGAAGAATAGACTTATAACATCCATGACTGATTGCTATTAACACAAATAAAGATTTGAAGAGGCAATAGATAGGGCACAAAAGAAAACACCTTCATGCACTTCAGAGAGAAAATAATTCAGCTATAACTTACCTGATTATCAAATTATTAGTTTCTAGTTTTATTACCTCCACTTTAGTATCTTAGTGTAGTTACATTTTGCTTCTAATACTTGTTTACTTCTGAATTTTATCTTAGTATGTAAAATTATATCCAATGACCAGTGAACTGTCATTGGATTGTTTTTTCCTTATTAATAATTGTCTGTGTGTGTTCTACAATGGATTGCCCATAGAATGGAAACCACAGGTCAATGAAATTTGGGCAGGACTTCTACAAGAAATAACTGGCCTGGGTCTTGAAGAAGTAAATAAGTTGGAGCTTTGGAAAGATGAGAGATTTGGTCTCAGGTGTTCAAGGTGAGGTGAAATGTAATGGTGAACATCAAATGGAAAGGGAAAACTTGGGGAAGAAGGGGATTCAAGAGGCAAGGACTAGCAGCAGAGTGAGCTGAAAACACAGAGACTGGAATCGGAAGTGGCTGCCAACTTTGTTCAGGGATGGGTGCAGATGAGTTAAAATGGAGTCATGAGTGACAGAGCCAGTTTGACAGAGGAAATGCAAATGGAGTTTTGGCAAAAGAAAGTGAAGGTGTGGGAGTAGATAATCCCCCAAAGTTATGAAGACAAATTAAAGCTCGAAAGTAAGGCAGTGCAGTGATGGATTTGATGAAATCAAGATAAATATTTGCTAGTGAAGAAAGGAAAACAACTTTAGCTGTATGTCATTCTTCCAAATACTCTAAAACCAGCAGTGGTTTTTGAAGAAAACATTCATAGGGTCTTACTTTTCAGTGCCTTTCAACTACTTACTAGCTCCATATGTCTGATGGGAGGTTCTGCCATTCTACATAAACTCTGTGGATAACCACTTTTTCCCCTAAATCCATCAGGTTTACAAATCTTAAAGTCTACTACAAGCTTCAGTTAACTAGCTCTTGCACTAGTTAACTAGGTGCAGGGTAAGAAACCTAAAACTGTAGTCACTAGGGCCATAGAGACAACACTCCAGAAACTCAAGAAAGGTCAATTTCTTCCCTGTTTTCCAGAAACCTCCCCAAGATTTGTGTAGTGCTGTGTAAGTTTGTAGGACTCTTTGGCAGAGAGAGACTCAGTATCTTGCCTGAAGACTAACCCATACCGAAAAGAATTGATGTAGGTACGGAAAAGTTCATAATCACTTGCAAATGGCAGAAATAACAAAACGTTTTGTAAGTTGAAAACAAATGTTAGTAAATTGACTTTTAGACTAGGACTTTCAAGCTTTGGACATTTTTGTGGAGACGTGAGTATTCTGGCTAGAAATAATACAGAAATAACTTAGCAGAAATAATATTGAATTGTCTGTTTAAAATTAGCAGGCAAGAATATACCCCCCACCTCCAGAATATCAACCAGTTGACAGTGCATTTGTCCGCAAATCAGCAGGCATGAGGGAGGGAGATGTCATGCTTCCTTGGGATGCTTCACTGCTGGAGAATGAGTTTTTCCAAGGTAAGTCTATGTACCGAATTGCCTTTGGAACTGCCAGTACTAAAGCAAATAATAATAATTACAGTTTGTATCAAAATCCTCTTGTCTACTTTATCTGAAGAGGATGCTGCTGCATGTTAGTAAAACAAAAATAAAGCTTATTTTTATTTTTATACTTAAATGTAATCTACAAGTATTCTCAGACCAAGGATTGTAAATCTGTGGAGTGGTACTAATGTTTAATATTTAACCTCTAGTAAAAAGGAAATACATTTTTAAGAAACATACCTATAAAGTTTACTGTTCTTAATAGACTTTCATTGTTCCTGATTGAGACCAAACTGCACTGTGGTGAAATCTAATTGTTGTTAAACAGTTCACCTGGTACAGTAGATAACAATAAAGATGGAAACAGACTCTAAAAGTACTTCACGCACATGGAATTTATTATTATGTAGGCATAGCTCACCTTTGCATAGGTCATTCTATATCAAAATAAGCCTGGCCATTTAAAGTGAACTCAGAAGTCATTCACCAGCTTCAGCTTAAGGAACTAAACTCAATTTGCACACCACTACCTGGGCCCTAGAGCTGGGACAGGCTGTGAGAGAATCCAGCTGGATGAGCAGCCGGGAGAGCCCTTTCAGTAAGACGGCTCCTGGCAGACAACTTGCTTCAGAGGAAAGAGACCCAGAGGAGATCTCTGTTCCAAACAAAGGCTTTGCTAATGGAGGAGAGCTACTGTTAATGAATGAAAAAAATGAGTTGGTCTCTGCAAGTAAAGAGGAGAAACAACAGAAAATTTTTTTATCTCACAGGTAGTGAGTAAAGCAGCATTGTGAATTTGGGATTCTAAGGGACTCCAATAATTTAAAAATCCTGATATGGGGATGCTAAGAGTGGTTACCTTTGGGGAGGAGTCCAGGTGATTTTCCCTCTTTTCCTGTACTTCCCTGTATGTGCTTTTTTAGCCATATATTGCTTTTGTTGTCAGCAGAAAACTTTATTTAAGGAAAAAAAGAAATTATGGGCAGCTTAAAAGGGAAAACACAGATCAAGGAGTTTTATTATAATTTGTTTTTTTTGTTTTGTTTTTTTTACTCGTTACATAGTTTTATTTTCTTTCTGCCGTGCCTTATAGTTTGGCATTGCTTGATTATTTTGAAATACAGGAGAATACAGGAGAAATTTTTTCAGAAACTGGAGATAAATAATTTGTTTTTTCATTATGACATTGTCAGGATCATTCCCTAGAGAATATCTTGGTCACAGATCCTTAATGTTCTAGCCCAGTCTTTCTGCTGGCTGTACAAACTTAATATCACCGACATAAAAATAAGATAGGGTAGGGGAAATCCAGAACAGATGTCAAAAACCCCTTGAGCATGTGCCCTGACCTAACTGACAGGTCACAAGTATATCCCACTTACATTCACTCAGATATCGATGTGCCTCTCTTTCCCTGTCGTTCAATAGTTAAAATCAAATTCTTTAATGACAAATAATTTTACATAACCAAAGAGAGAGCACTATTTTATGTAACTCACAAGGAAAGATTTCTGTAAACCAAAACCATCTTCAGAAGTTTAAATAATCCTATAACTTAATGATCATGTCAGATTTGATTTTCATTAATGAACATTTCTTCAATAAATACATAATCTACTTGTACTTAATGTGAAACATGAATATGGTAAAATATATCTGCCACGAGGTCGGCCTTAGGGAATCTTAAAACCTTAAAAGTTTCTGGTTCTATTTAAATTCTAACAGGTTTATATTGAGGAAAAGATGTACAATATGATTCAATAAACACCATTCAAAGAAGCACCAACCAGCTGAAAATATCCTGTGACTTGTCTGAGATCACAGACGCTGTGGTCCTCATGAGCATGAGCCAAACGTCTTAAGTTGGCCTAGGTCTTCGGTATTATAAGGAGGTTTCTGGACCCTGACTTGGACACCACTCTCCAACCTTGCCACTGGGAGAAAAGCATTAAGAAAAAAACATTGTTTGACAACATCAACTTCACATCCTTGTAATATTATAAGTTTGCAGGGAATCATCTTCACAGTTCACTGAAAGAAAAAAAAAAAGTGCGCTTTTATGGCACCACGGCTGCATCGCACAGTGGTTGTATGTGTGGACTCAGGAAACAGATCACCCGGATCCACTTGCTAGCTGGGTGACCTCAGCAACTTAATTAATCTTTCATGCCTCAGTTTCCTCATTTTTAAATGAGAATAGTAATAGTGCCAGTCTTACAAAGTTATGTGAGGATTTAATGAGTGAATAAATTAAGTGCTTAGGACTGTGCCTGACCTATAGAAAGTGCTGTGTTATAGAAGCACTAATGGGTCTCATTTCCAGGAAAAACAATCTACATTAGCATATCATTTAACAACATTGTATAGAACTTTAAATTGTATGTGTTGCTCAAATCCACCCAAATAAGTATGTTTATAAATTAGGTGCTAACTTTTGGTGGTAATGCTGTTTTCTTAATTGTACAACTGAGGTACCACATGTAATTTATAGACTCATTTCTTTTACAATCCTCCGAAGTAAACATAATTGGAAATATTTTAGTTACCTAGTGACACAAAAGATGCATTAAAAGAAACCATGATTAAAATTCACTGTTAGAAAAAAAATGTAGCTTTATATCCTTAAGGCATAGTTAACCTTGAGAAAGTATGATTTGAAAAAGTATGAAAAGGAAGCTTCCATTACAGCCTTGTGAAAGACAGACTATCTTAAAGGCATAATCAAAAACTAACATCATCATACTTAGGATGATATGATAAAAATACACTTACAATGATTATATTTCTTGAAGAGGGGCTTCTACAACTCAAACTATTAGAGTATACAAACTTATACCAAAGAAATGACTCATATTCTCCTTTCAGTTTTAGATGATCTGGATAGCACACTGGCTCAGGAACAATCTGCAAGCTCAGTGAATACCAGAGCACCCCTCAACCATGGATCAACAAGACAGTTCAGTCATTTTTATTCCAGTGAGAACAGACACGGTAATATCACAGGAAGGCACAAAAATCACTATAATGACACTCCTAATATGTCTTTCTATAACATCCTAAGACCAGGAAACCCCAGGGAAGGTTTCAAAATCTTTTCTCCTAGAACAAGGACAATTTATGATATGTACAGGACAAGGGATCCCAGAGTCTTAAAAGAAGATCACGTGCAAACGAACACTTTTGGTAGTGCTTCTCTGTGTTTTGACAGCAGGCAACAATCAGCCTCACCAGCTACAAGATATTTCACAGCAAGAAGCTTACATTTCCCAACCATAACTCAGAACAAGAATGGGTTTATACCAGCAAGCCACCAGCAGAGCCCAAAGAGAACTCCTTTATCGTCCATCATATGGAATAGACCAGATTCTTCTAGAGAGAGGCCGGACCGGGAAGAGTTTCTAAGGGCACCGTCACCAATGAAAATTGACTCTTCTGACCAGTATATATATCCCAGGTGTTTTCAGGAGAATAGGGGATATGAATTTTACCGTTCACAGAGTATTTACCAAAGTGTTGGCTTAAATAACCCCATGGATAATGCAATGAGTCCTGACCCATTTGAGAACTTGGAGAATATGCCATTCTACCATCAAAAAAACCCATTTGCTAGGTCTTTCTTTAGCAAAACCTTTGGACACAGCCCGGGACAGAGATTAGGACAGAGTCCTTTTTGGGGCCAACAGGAAGAACGCTCTTCCTGCCCTGACATTCATCAAAGCAGGAAACCATTCACTTCTTCTGACAGAGACTTTGAATTGATTTCCAGTGAAGCAAATGGTGCATCAGCTGGTCATGGCCAGAATGTTCCTCCTCAACACTGGGGATCGTTTTCTCCCAGTTACAGAACAAATATTTCTGGAGAGCAGAAACAGCCAAATCCCTGGCAGTTTGCTTCTCAGACTTCCACACTGGAGAGCATGGAGGTGTCACAAGGTAATGGGAACCACACAACTCATTTTGGCACACCGAATGCTTCCTCCATGACTGGTTCAAGCTATCACATCAGATCTGGTGGGTTAGAATGTCAACAGGACAGTTCTTATACAGAAGTACATATACACAAAGAACCTTACTCACTTGGACATGCTCAAACTGTAGCATCCTCATTCAAAACTTCCTTCCCCCAGGTTCCTGATAACAGAGGGAATCCTCAGAGTCCCAACTTTCAGAATCCTACAATCACTTTGCAGAAAAGTAAGCCTCCCTCTCTACCAATAAAAAGCTATACAGAAATCACTGAGGTCAACAGCAATTCAGTTGATTCTCCCCCTCTTATTGAAAATCAACCCAATATCTTGGTCACTGAAGTAAATAATGAGAAAGACTTGAATGAATCTATTTTGGAAAAAGACAAACAGCTAGATGAGGTGGACCAGACAAATGTGACAGGTGAAACACCCCAAGCTGTCTCACAGACAGTAATCACTGACCCCGTACCTGGTTTTCAAAATCCCCTCTCCCAGGACTTAGCCAAACACATTTTTGATGCCATGGAAGAACAATGTACCACAACTCACTCTGCCAACTGCAGCAAGTCGGCTGCTAGCCACAGTATTCCATGCGATTCTCTAGATCTGTCAGCAGGTATATTGCCAGATTCCTCACCACTGAATGACTCCTGCCTTGATGCTCTGGGGATTCCTTCTACTGCAGGGTTCTCCAGGAAGAGCCCTTCAGGCAAAGATCCATCTCTGGGAGAAAGAGAAGAAAAAGACAGTAGCGAGAGCCAAAGTACTCATTTTTCTGTAGGCCCCTCAGAAAACCAAAAGCGTGATGCTAGTTGTATGCCTGTACGTAACGGAGAGGCTGACGCTATCAAATGCCATTTACACCCTCCTTCAAGGGAAGGAAAGGGAAAAGGAAATGTAAGACATTGCATATCCTGTCCTGAAAAGTTAAGCAATACAGAAGGTAGATCCACACCCGCAAGTGGAAGCAGCAGCCTCATTGAGGTGAGCCAAAGCAATCCTGCGGCTCCTGGGCTTCACACAGTTTACTGTACCTTACCAAGGACACCAGCCGGTTTTCTCAGTAACAGGAAGTCAGAAAGTAAGATAATGGCTTCTTCTTTCAGAAATGAGCCACTTCTATTCCAAGTGGAAAATAATGTGGAAGATCCCATAGGGAAGTACACATCAATCGAATTCAGTCCCAGTTCCTCTGAGTCAGAAAGCAAATGCTCCAAAGCAGTTTCAGACTCAGTCTCAGCAGTACCTGAAGCCACAGGAGGGATGGCAGATCCAAAAAGCACTGGAACTGCTTCTGGTAGAAAAGGACCACCTCCACTCCTCATTGAGAGGGCTGTGTCTTGTCCTTCGGGAGCACCGCCCGCCTCAACTGGAAGAGGTGGAAAGGGAACATGCTTGTGCTCAGACACAGATGCTTCTGCTGTGACACCAAGGCCCTGGGGGAGGGTCGTTAACCCTCTGGGGAGTGACTCATCTGTTACACACTGTCCTTTAACCCAAGGACACTCCCAAAAGGACTGCTTCCCAGAATGCACTAAAAAAGATGGCAAGAGTGCTGCCTCTGGGGCGGGGATATTTTCCCTTTCAAATGAAGACCCTTTACCTTTTTCTTCAGACATGTCAGGAAAAGGAAGCAGGAAAACATTACATAAATTTAAGACAACTAGTATGTTTTCTGTTTCTGGGGATGAAGATAATGTAAAATGTCTTGAGGTGGTTTCCGTATATTATACTCTACCGAGGAAGCCCAGCAAAAAGTTCTGCAGCCTCCTTCAGAAGTTTACACAAAACATTGATTCGCTTACAGAAGCAACTAAAGTGGAGACTGAAACATTTTCTCATGTTTTAGAAAAAGACAAAGTGAATTATTCTACACAAGAACAGTCAGGAACACTTTCAGCTGGAGAACTCAAAATGCTGGTCAGCTCTGCTCAGAACAGCCATTGTCTTTCTCACGCCACTGAAAATATGACAATTTTACAATTACCAGGTATTAGGCCCTCAGAATCTATGTTACAGGAAATAGCTTCTATTGAGGCAGATGCTCCTCTTCATAAAGGGGGACCTAACGCTGGAGAGATGTCCCCTGAAAACATAGCTAAAACACCTCTAAGTCATGCACAAAACAGGAGAGAGAGAGGGGTGAAATTGCAAAGTGAAACTCTGCATGCGTCATCAATGCTTCAGGAAAAAGAAGTTACAGAAGAGAAATCTGAAAATTGTCAGCAACCCGTTAAATCAGGTAACAGTGGGCCTTCTACTGTTTCAAGCCATTCAGACAAGAATGTTAAAAATTCCCAAACTATAAGAGGTTCTGGGGAGTACGCAGGTCATGGTCGAGCCATTACAGCTACCAGAAATGGAAGGTGTCCTCAGAACGATGTCACAGTTTTATACCAGCAAGCCACCAGCAGAGCCCAAAGAGAACTCCTTTATCGTCCATCATATGGAATAGACCAGATTCTTCTAGAGAGAGGCCGGACCGGGAAGAGTTTCTAAGGGCACCGTCACCAATGAAAATTGACTCTTCTGACCAGTATATATATCCCAGGTGTTTTCAGGAGAATAGGGGATATGAATTTTACCGTTCACAGAGTATTTACCAAAGTGTTGGCTTAAATAACCCCATGGATAATGCAATGAGTCCTGACCCATTTGAGAACTTGGAGAATATGCCATTCTACCATCAAAAAAACCCATTTGCTAGGTCTTTCTTTAGCAAAACCTTTGGACACAGCCCGGGACAGAGATTAGGACAGAGTCCTTTTTGGGGCCAACAGGAAGAATGCTCTTCCTGCCCTGACATTCATCAAAGCAGGAAACCATTCACTTCTTCTGACAGAGACTTTGAATTGATTTCCAGTGAAGCAAATGGTGCATCAGCTGGTCATGGCCAGAATGTTCCTCCTCAACACTGGGGATCGTTTTCTCCCAGTTACAGAACAAATATTTCTGGAGAGCAGAAACAGCCAAATCCCTGGCAGTTTGCTTCTCAGACTTCCACACTGGAGAGCATGGAGGTGTCACAAGGTAATGGGAACCACACAACTCATTTTGGCACACCGAATGCTTCCTCCATGACTGGTTCAAGCTATCACATCAGATCTGGTGGGTTAGAATGTCAACAGGACAGTTCTTATACAGAAGTACATATACACAAAGAACCTTACTCACTTGGACATGCTCAAACTGTAGCATCCTCATTCAAAACTTCCTTCCCCCAGGTTCCTGATAACAGAGGGAATCCTCAGAGTCCCAACTTTCAGAATCCTACAATCACTTTGCAGAAAAGTAAGCCTCCCTCTCTACCAATAAAAAGCTATACAGAAATCACTGAGGTCAACAGCAATTCAGTTGATTCTCCCCCTCTTATTGAAAATCAACCCAATATCTTGGTCACTGAAGTAAATAATGAGAAAGACTTGAATGAATCTATTTTGGAAAAAGACAAACAGCTAGATGAGGTGGACCAGACAAATGTGACAGGTGAAACACCCCAAGCTGTCTCACAGACAGTAATCACTGACCCCGTACCTGGTTTTCAAAATCCCCTCTCCCAGGACTTAGCCAAACACATTTTTGATGCCATGGAAGAACAATGTACCACAACTCACTCTGCCAACTGCAGCAAGTCGGCTGCTAGCCACAGTATTCCATGCGATTCTCTAGATCTGTCAGCAGGTATATTGCCAGATTCCTCACCACTGAATGACTCCTGCCTTGATGCTCTGGGGATTCCTTCTACTGCAGGGTTCTCCAGGAAGAGCCCTTCAGGCAAAGATCCATCTCTGGGAGAAAGAGAAGAAAAAGACAGTAGCGAGAGCCAAAGTACTCATTTTTCTGTAGGCCCCTCAGAAAACCAAAAGCGTGATGCTAGTTGTATGCCTGTACGTAACGGAGAGGCTGACGCTATCAAATGCCATTTACACCCTCCTTCAAGGGAAGGAAAGGGAAAAGGAAATGTAAGACATTGCATATCCTGTCCTGAAAAGTTAAGCAATACAGAAGGTAGATCCACACCCGCAAGTGGAAGCAGCAGCCTCATTGAGGTGAGCCAAAGCAATCCTGCGGCTCCTGGGCTTCACACAGT